TGCTCTCTTAAACTATATTTATTCCACAATGCAGTGTGACCTCCAGTTTCGGATCCATTACATCCTTTTTCAAAGCACCAAACTGCTTATTTGTTTCCCCACAAGTTTGGACCCAACTGTTGATCATTTAAATCTTTCACCAATATCCCCAATTATCTTGCCTCTTGTCCCACCCGTCTTAAATTCTAGCCCTTGAAAAGTTCAGTAATTTAACTCTTCTCTACTTATTTTAGGTTTCTGAGTACTGGTAGAGAAAAATCAAACAAAAACAGGAAGACCAGAGGTAGTAAAAATTCATGTCCTCCATCCTGAGCCAAGTTCTGAACCACTAGGTCATACTATGTGATGCCAGCTTCTATTGGAAATATTGCCACTCCCCTCCTTTGGTAGATGACCTTGTCTCCCTCAGTACTAGTAAAATTAAGGTCATCATAAACCTCTGACAGATTCTTCCCCTACCACCAATACTAACCTTTGTCTTTAGGCAATCCTGACCTCTTTCCCTTGTCAGTGGGAAAGCTTACATCCTCCTAACCAAGGGTAATCCCTTAATCTGTGAACTAGGTCCCATCCTGTATTGTTTCTTCAGAGAAACATTTTCTTTTCTGTATGCCCATTACCTCCCTCTCTGGTGATCTTCCCTCAGCTCAAGATGTTTCTGACATTGAAAATAAAGATACAGGTCTGAGGGTATAGAATGTGTGTTTAGCATGTGCAAGGCCCTGGGTTTGATTCTCAGCACCAAACACAAATAAAGAAAATTAAAGATATAGAAAATAATCCTCCTTTGGTCCCACCATGTCCCTCTCTAGCTATTGTCTTCTTTGGGATAATTTGGCTACTGCTTTTACCACTGTGCTGAAAACTACCAGTCAACAAGGAACTCAAAATGCCATATCCAATTGGATAGGTTTCTGTTTCATATCCAATTGGATATGATCTTTCTGCCATACCTGTCTACTTTTTCCCTAAACGTTTTCCTTTCTGTTCTGTGACATTCTGTTCTCCTGTTTTGACTCTTACTTCTCTAACCTTTCCTTCTCAGTGTTATTCCTGGGCTCCTTCTCTTCCATAGGCCTTTCAAATGCCCTTCTCTCTCCCATGATAACAGTTCATGTTCAGGAGGCTGACCCATATTGGTTCAAGTCCTGGCTCCATCACTTTGTAGCTGTGTGGCTTAGGTCATTTGACATTTTAAAATTTTTATTTATCCACCTACAAAACTGATATAATACTAATGCCTACCTCATTGAGTTTTTGGAAGGATTAAATAATAATCCATCTCTGTTATGCTTCAGATTGATCTAGAAAAGTAGCAAGAAACAAAAACCTATTGAACTTGGAACAGATACGAGTGTGGCTGAGACTGCCAGTTTTCCTTTAATATTTATTCTTCCCTTTCATCACAGAAATGAAACATTTCAGTTTTTCATGGATCACAGGCTGTTTTCCTTATGGCTAGCTATAGCCATAGGACTAAGTTCTGAACAATGGAATGTAAAGGGAATTCTGTGCTGCTTCCAATAAGTGTCCTTAAAGGACCAGGATGTTCTTCCTTGCTCCTTCCTACTTTGTACTTACTGAAATTCAGACCAGATGGTTGAAGCTTGAGCAGACATCCTGATGCTATGAAGTGCAAGCCACACATCATGGATGATTTAACACCACAAGAGAAGAAACCTGGGTCTCTGACAGTTTCAAGATGCTGCCCTAGCAGTTATGGCCTACTTTCTTCTTGACCTTCACAGAAGAAAAGTAACTTTCTTTCTCTTTAAAGCCAATATTAGTTTGCCCTTTCTGTCCCTCACAGCCAGCCAATCCTGACTACTATAAGAGAGACAATGAAAGCATAAGATACAAGGACATATTGCAGGTAACAACAAGGCTACACAGAAAACAGATATAGAAAGTGGGCAGTCATTAAGACACCCACAAGGTTTTTTGTCTCTAGGGTTTCCTGTGAGTTCATCTGCTTCTCTTGATTCTCATCATGGATGAACTTTCTCTATTTGCTCATTAGCAAGACTGAAAATAGTCATTTAAGTCGCAAGCCTGTGAAACGTTTCAGATTAAGTCATTTTATGTTTGTATCTCATAGTTCGATTAAATATATTTTTAGTTGCTGATTGCCCTTTATTTATTTATATGTGGTGCTGAGAATCCAAACCAATGCCTCACACATGCTAGGCAGGCACTCTACCAATGAGCTATAACCCCAGCCCTCTTTGTTCAGTTTTTGAAAGAGAAATTATTTTTGTTGCTCACCCAAATGAATTGTGCTTTCTTCTCCATGTATATTTCTCATTCAGGTAGTTATAGATGGAATGGGTTGGAAGTAGTGTACAAATATGGTCTCTAAAGCCCAACCTTTAAAAAGATAGGATTTATAGAGATTCAAGTTTCAGAGAACAGGATAGAGGCAAAGAGGGCAATATAATGTGAGTTTACCACTTTAAATTAGTGCATATTCAATTGAATAACTCAGTTTGAAAAACCTGCTCATTTCCCCCTTTTTCCTTTTGTATTCCATATTTAAAATCACCATAAATTTAGTGATGAAATCTAGGAGTCATCCTTGACCCCTCCTTAATCATCCTACTCACACATAATCAGTGGCAATAGATTCTACCTCTTTTATCGTTTTTTATCTCCATGGCTGTTGCCTTAGTTTAGGCTTTCCTATTTGCTCAGTTTAGTGTAGCAGCATTCTTAACTACTATGGCCTGCTGCCAGGCTGGCCCCCATTCAATCTGTGTTCTCCAAGCTTTCAGACTGATACTTCTGAATGCAAATCACTTGCTGGTTAGCATTCTCATTGCTTTTAGGCAGAATCCAAGCCCCTTAGGATGACACTAGAGATACTCCACAATCTGGTTCCTGCCTGCCTTTCTAGCCTTATATTCTGCTACTCTTGACTTTAGCCTTCCATGTCATGTATGTATAGGCCCCATCATGCTGCTTATATTCCCATACTGTAGATTCAGGTCCCTCTGCCTAGAATAGTGTTATGACATCCCATAATGAACAATATTCCAGTGAATTTATTGAGACCTCATGGTTGAGAAATTTGAAGATTAAAGCAGATCTTTACATAAATCTGTTCTTTGAATTACAAATGGTCTGACATCTAAACTGTACCTAAAATTGCCTGCCTAACAAAGTGTACGGAAATAATATTCTCTCCAAAGCAGATCCTGAATAAATGTTCATTAAGTATCTCAAAGAAATGCATCCTGTGGTATTTTTAAGTCTCTAAACTTTTCCAGGTGAAAAGAATGAAATGGTAAAATGAGTGTCAAAGATGCCAGTAGGACATTCCCAGTTGTGACAACTAAAAATGTTTCCTTATATTGCCAATTATCTCTTAGGGGACAAAATCAACTCCACAGGGATTGGATATCATAAAAATATAGCGAAGATCATTGGAGTATAAGGAGATTGTGAAGGAGGAAGGATGGAAAAGTACGGGGGAATGTGGAATGAATTTAAGAAAATCACATTATGTGTATATATAAATATACCACAGAGAATTTCACCTTTATGTGTGTCTGGAAAGTATCAATCAAGGATGGATAAAGAAAATGCAAAGAGAGGATCAGTGCAGTAGAGAATGGGTCAAGGGAGGGAAGGGGGAGGAGGAAGGAAATGGGACTGAAATGAAGTGGGTCAGATTCCATGCATGTACATTTTTGTGGGGATGAATCTAGCTACTATGTGAAACTATAATGCTCTAATAAAAATAAATCATTTCCTAGGCCTAGAAATGTGTTCTGGTAAGAGGAAAAATTTCTAATTAATCATGCTATAATGATGTTTGGTCAATAAAGGAAGAAGAAAGGAAAGCTCCTTATAAAATAGCATCTAACAGTCTCTTTTTTAAGAGAATTTATTCATTTCCATTCAATGTGAAAACAGTCTCTTTTTTAAGAGAATTTATTCATTTCCATTCAATGTGAAAAACTGCAGAACTTGTTTTTCTTTCCTAATCTATTATAGAAGAGAAAGATGAATTTTTAATTATTTGAAAATCTGACTCTAAGCAAGAGAAATCATAAATACTGTTTTGATTGGCCTGTAACATCAAAATATCCAAATGGTTATAGCCCTCCAAATATCTGTTAAAAATATGATTTATATAGCCTCAAAATAGGTTTATTGCTGAAGAAGAAATGGTAAGAATCAATGAGGAATACATGCTACAAGACAAATTAAATCTTTCCAAGCTAAAATAAAATTTCACTGGGTCTAAATCAATCTTATCCTATATTTAAGCCATCGGTACTAGTCTTTTTAAAGACCACTGAACCTGCTGCTCCCTTACGAAAAATATTTATTTTTCAATCACTCCCCCTTATTGGTTTACATCACAAAGAATAGTTTCCTGGTTCAGAAGAGGCATGAACATGAAGAGGCACAAGAATTCTTACAAGCACCTTCTCTCTAGCAAATTCTATCATCATCAGGTGTTGGATTTATGTGGACTTAAAGTCGAAATCCTGTTTTTTGATCATTTTTGACATTTTCACAAGTATCTAAAATTAATATTAGATATAATATTAATTCAAAAGGAAAACCTTCTTTATATAAGCCTGAAATGGGCCCAACACTACAATCATTTTCATTTTTTCCCTTCATTTTCAAAACACAGTAGGCTTGCAGTAATTTGATGTTTGTATTTATCAATGTGTAACTTTTCCATTCTAGTCTCTAGTTTACCCCAGACAGAAAGTTTGCCACAGTGCAGAGAAACAAAAAATCTTCCTAATGATTGCAGAGTTGGAGAAAAAAAACTTAGCTGTGCAAAGCATTGCATCAGGAAAGCAGAAAGGGGTGTTCTATAGATGACAGAGGTGGTGGATATGAATGGACATTCAATAATGTGTAGTGTGGACAGGGAAGGGTGAAAAATGGTTGTGGAATGAACAGGATGAGGAAACTGGTGCTTGATGAGAGAAGTGGATGAGGTTGTAGCTTTAAAGGCAGAAAATAACTGACTTGACCTCCAATGCTGAGGTTACCAAAGGCCTCCAGAGTCTTCTCCAGAGTCTTCTTCAAGGTTCTGCATGACGAAGACCAGCCAAAAAAAAGCAGGAAACGGCAGTTCTTAGGTTCACGTGCCTACAAGTAGGGGACAATTGTGCCTCCGTGAACTTTTAGCGACTTGTATCTTCGGGTGCAGTCATCTGTCCGGGGTGTGCCACTCACCGGTTAGGTGAGAAAAGGAACGCCTACATAACTCACTGAGCGTGTTCTAAGCCACTGTTTTAATAAGAGCGGATCCAGGGAAAACAGGCGAATCCTTCAGGCAGAATCACTCCAGCTTCATCGGGAAAGGCCAGACGAAGGGCTCCTCTATAAGTTTCGGTCCTTCCTTGGAAGAGAAGCGGAAAAGCCCTGGAATGTGGGGGGAAAGGAGTGGAGAATAGATGCTTGCCTCTTCGGAGTTGAGGCGGGAACCTCAGGAAGCAGGAGGAAATTTTTTTTTTTTTTGGAGGATGCTGAGAGGGTCCGGGGTCGGTCCGCGGCTAGCAGCTCAGCTGCGAACTGCAGGTGCCTAAGGAGCCAGGGCGTCATAGCAACCGCCCTCGCTGCTGGGACGCAAAGGCGTCATTCCGGCAGGAACTGTAGGTACGATGCACGCCATTGGTGCCACTGACTGTTCTTCCTGTGACGAGTTTTGTTACGGCGCACTCCATTGGCCTCTGGGTCTTGGGGCGGAGTTCTTCCAGCCGCGCGTGAGTACTACTCGCTCCATTGGCTCCTGAGACAGCCTTAACCATAATTTGTATAACTGCAAGCGCTTGCAATTTAATAGCATTTCTAGTTCTCAAATAGCTACCCTTGTCCCAGCCTTATCAAAGTCCCGGGCTCCTTACGTTAGACTTCCTGATCTAGAACTTATTTATTCTTTTAAAATATATTTTTAAAAATTGTAGATGAGCACAATACCTTTTTTTATGTGGTGCTGAGGCTCGAACCCAGTGCCTCCCACATACTAGGCAAGTGCTCTACCATTGAGCCACATCCCCAGCCCCTTATTTCATTTTTATAAGGGTAGGATGCTAGGTCAGGAGTTCTGAATTTTAGACCTATATCTGTCACTAACCACATGGGGAGCCTCAGATTAAACACAACACTTGCACCCAACTTACTGTCAAAATGGAGAAACCCGGCTTGACCAGAATTATCCTTAAAAGTTGAAACCCTTTAAGAAGTCCTAAGCCTGGCAAATTCGGTTTAGGCGAGTCGTATCAATCTCTCCCTTTGGCAACAGAACCCTTGAGAATGTTTTCTCTGATTTAAAATGCTATCACCACCACACAGCCCACTTAACACCTATTTGTCAGTTTCAGTATCACCTCCTCAGGCAAACTTTCTTTGATACTCTAATCTAAATCAAGTTCTTTCTTGTTTTGTTGACTCACGTTCATTTTTCTTTAAACCCAAACACACACACCCTCACTCCCCCTGCCTCAGAATTTTCACTTGTATAAATACTGTTTTTAAGTGCTCTGAATACATTAATCAACCTAAGTAGAGAACTCTTTAATTCCATAGAATGGTGCTTGTTTTTGAGCACTAACATGAGGTGATTCTCACAGGAATAATTATGACCAAAAAAAAAAAGGATCACTTCTAGTTTTAGCCCCACTTATCCCACACTTTTTATCAACTGTAATGCATCCCTTAGGTTAGTCACCAGTTGGTCCCTGCCTAAAAGGTTGTATTAAATGTACCTCAAGAATGGTCCTAAAATATTTGAAAGGTAAATTTTTATTCAAATATGAAGTAAATCTAGGAAAAGAAAAAAAGATTTAGGGAGGTATCTTTTGCTTCTACGCACATCTTTGTTAAGTTTCCAAAAAACAACACCCTTCCCATGTGTTGGTTTGTGGGCACACATTTTATTGCACTTAATTTTTTATATGTCCATTTCCCCAGCAAAACATATTTATTCATCTTTTTAATCCTCATAGCTCAGCACAGGGCCTGGCACAGAGTAGGCACTCAAATACTTGATCTTGAAAACATGACCACTTATGTATGCATCCATAATCCCCCTTCTACAGTATGAAGTGGGTGGATATTCAGCGTTCAGCTACTTTTCATGTACATTTTGCAGAATATATAATTCCCAAATTATATTAGTGATTTCACACTTTAAAAGAGATCATCAGGATCTCTTTTTTAAAAGCTGTTTATTTCTTGGCTTTTTAAAAAGTCAAGGCAAAGCTCTAGTGTTCAATTTCCAAGTCAAGATAACATTTCAGGTGAGTGTGTCAGGTGGTTCAGTCATTAAGAGGCAAAAGCCAGCCCATATTGCCTGCACACTTTGTTCTTATAAAAGCAAATAATTTATTCTAGTCCTTGCCATTTGTAAGAGCCCTGGTCCACTGAACAATTTTTGATCCTATAAAACTTTTTTAGTTCAGTTTTTGTCACATATAAAAGCTGTGTGTCGAGACTGAAGATTATCCACTATCTTCTTTTCTATCTCTACACCTTTTTCTACATCTTCCTCTGATAGCAATAACTTGGTTTCTGAGTCTTTGGTAACAATAATAACAAAGGAATGTATTGACTCAAGGATATTAGCCACCACCAGTTGATGTTGATAAACTTCCAAAGCATTCCGAGCACGATTAATTACGATGGAGGGGTCGGTCTCCAACTTAAAGGAAATTATAAAGGCTTTGGGAGCCCAATCTTTAACCAAAGGATAAAGCATTTTTGGCACCATCTTCATTGTTATCTGTATTGGAAAAAGAAAAGCTTAATAAGCAAACAATGACCACTACCTATCAGGAAACTAAGGAATCAGGGACTCAGATTTTTGCCTAGATAAATTTTAGTGAGATTTTTTCCCATTGTGCAGACTTTTCAAAGCAAATTAAATGGTTAGCTTAAAAGCCTTAACTCTGTGGTGTTCATACTAATATCTAAATTTAAGGCTTTATACATATTCTGGGGCAAACCATTTTTTTTTTTTTTTTAATCAGCCCTACTCTGCTACCCTCATTACATTTTCTGGAATGTTCTCCTTTATTTCTTCAAGTAAACCCTCAAATAAGCAAATATAACTAATTGGTTCATGCAAATGTTATGCTGGCAGAAGTCCAAAAATATTGGATTTTTAAACCTCTCAGTTTAAAATATTTCTACATTGGTAGAATGGCTCTAGATTCCATTTACTTGTAACTGGAACTGTAAACGGAAAAATTACACAACAGCACTGAGGAAACAACTGATTTTCACTTGATTAAAACTCATACCATCTGTTTCCAACACCTTCAAAGAGGAATGTTGCGTTGTTTTGTATACTTTTAAGACAGAACTAAAAAATGTGGATAAAGATCCCAGAGTTTTGAAAGTGTGAATCACTAAACTAATCACCAGGATCTCTTTTTAAAAAGCTGTTGTTAGCAAGTGTGATAAGAATCATATATTGCTAGTTCCCCACTGTTTCTCCTTAGCATTTTTCCCTACCAAGAGTAGCATGCATTTGACTCCCCTGCAGTATGTAAGCAATTCAAGTGCTAGATATTTCTTTTCACTGCTTTTATCTCCAGTTCCTACAATTAACACCTGGTACAGTAGGTACTCAATAAATATTTGTTGAAGAAATGAAAAAATAAACTATCATACAAGGGCCCCATTGATAGAGTTTCTCCTATATAGATTCTACCTGAATCACTAGGAACTTCCCCTCAGGTTCCAAGACACCAGAATATCTTAATAACTCAACCATACAACTGTTCTCTTCATACCTCTTCCTTAAATTACAATAACCCCCAACTGAACTATCCCATTCACTCTATTCCCTACTTCACCTTTCAAAATGATGCCAGAATGTTCTTTTCACAAAAACTATCTTATTCTCCTACTTATGTGCTACTTGTCTCCATAGGATAAAATCCAAGCTCCTTAAGAAGGAGTAAAAACCAGGCATGGTGGCCCACTCCTGTAATCCCAGCTACTTGGAAGGATGAGGCAGAAGATTCCAAGTTTGAGGTCAGCCTGGGCAACATAGCAAGATCTTATCTCCAAAAACAAAACAAAATATTCTGTGAAGTAAGCTGCCTCTTCAGTCCACTTTCCAGCATTACTAAAAGCACTTTGATTCACAGCAGCTACTGCTAAACATAGCAGTGTTTCCAAACTCCAACTGTATAACTCCACTTGAAATGATCTTCCCCACTGTTATACCCTCTGCTCATCTTTAAAAACCCAGTTCAAGTTAACTTCCTCCAAGAAGCCTTCCTCAACTCCCCCAATTCACTTCCCCCAAATCTGACTGCACTTTGTACATACCTCCACTAGAGCATTTATCACTCTGTTTTGTAATTATGTCTGTGTCCAGGTCCCTGGCTAGATTGTGAGGTCCTTGAGGGAGGGCGGTGTCTTATTCATCTCTGTATCCCCAGTGCCTAGTGCATACAGAAGGCAGATAGGCCATCTCCAGATCAAGAGGAAAATTAACCCATGATTGGTTATAGGGGATCAGATCTCTGGAAGAGAAGCGCCCATCACCTGCAGTGGGCCCCCAGATGACTGGATCTTGTGTTCAGGCATTTCAGAGACAGGAACATAGAAATCTGACACGGCCGCAGCCAGGTAAAACATCGCAGAAGGCCCTGCAAAGAGAAGTAGAAGGTGTAACAAATAGGGGAGAGGTGTGGGATCAGTTCCTTTACAACTTGAGTTCCCAGACTGTAAGACCAGAGGTATGGGGGGAAAGTGGCTGGGGATAAAGGCCTTGCTTCCTGGCAATCGCTGGATCCCTAGGGCACGCACCTAGTGGACTGAGCGCTTGGGCAGCAGCCTTCAGCAGATGCAAATAGTCTGCCAAAGTGGAGAACTCTACAGCCAGGAAGGTGCCGGCAGCCGCTGCTTCTTGGTAGCTCCGCAAAGCCGCAGCGAAGCCCGGGAGTTCATTCTCCTCGGCCTCCAGGCTCAGCACGCCCGACTTAGCTGGGCCAGAAGGCCGCAGGGCCGACAGCCAGGTCTGAGGCGGGAAGCGGTGGGCAAAGGGGAAAGAGGAACGAGCGCGGTACAAGAACAGGACCCCGTAGCCTGCAGCCAGGAAGGCCTCGGCCGAAATTGCACCTCGCCGCCCGCTGCTGAAGTTGTCCAGAAAGCGCACTGGCCGCGCTTCCAGAGGGACCTTGGTGCCGCCTGACGTGACCAACACCACCCGCCGGCCCTGTGCGCCTAGCCCGGCCGCGAAGCGAGCCATAACCTCGGCAGAGCGAGCAGCACCCGAAGGCTGGGGGAACTCGGAGACGAGGTCCATTTCTTCCATCAGTGTCTGAGTTCCCCCTGCGCCTGCGCCTGCGCACGCCCCGGGGCCGCCGGCACCACGCCCTCCTCGTACCCAGTCCACGCCCAGCCGCAATAGTGAGCGGGCCGGTCCCTCCCCAAGGTTTTGCCCTAGGTCCCAATCTCGCCGGGTGTGGAAATGCGCGGTTATTCTGCCCCAGAGCCCAGCGAAAATGATACTGCGCCGAGGGAATTCTCACTTTCGGATAGTGAACATCTGGAAAGGTCGCATTCCCTCTTGTTAGTTTCCTGACCTGGGTAAGAACGGGCCGCGTTTGACCCTTACCGGCCACCGTACAGACCTTCCTGGGCTTGGATCCTTCGGAGTGTATTCTCTTTGTCATTTAACCTTTGTGACTGATGGAATTTGTGACCCTCCCCTCCCCTGTTTTAAAGCTCAAAATGTCAGTCGAGCCACGCCCCTCCCCTTTGCCCTTGAAACTCTGGTAACTAGGCTGTCGCGGTCGTCACGTGACGCCGGTGTCCTGCGTTTCCTCGCTGGGCAACCGTCCTAGAGACCTACAGCCGCTGGCTGCAACATGAACGTGATCTACCCACTGGCGGTGCCCAAAGGGCGCCGGCTCTGCTGCGAGGTGTGCGAAGCCCCAGCCGAGCGAGTGTGCCCTGCCTGCACAGTCACTTATTACTGGTAGGCCCTGGAACGTGGCACCTGGCGCCTGACTCCCTCCCTCTCTCCGGATCAGGGCCTGGGCCTGTGTACCTGTGTGAGCCGCCACCCCTCAAGGCGGCTTCAAGACAGGTCTCTAGGACCCCTGTGGCCTTGTCTGCCTCCTCTCCCACTGGTTGTGGGGTGTGTTTTGAGCACCTGCTGTGTGTTCTGCACTAGTCTAGGTGCTGAGGTTCCAGGGGCATTTGGGTAGCTCTGTTCCCTCAAGGAGCTAATGTTAGGATGCAGGAGACAGACAAGTAAACAAAACAAAGTAATTTCAGAGAGAGAAATTTCTCAAGACAAGTAAAGAAAGTGTGATGAGAAACTGGGCAAACAGCTTCTCTTGAGAGTAGACTTAATGTGAAGATAAATAAGAGCAACCCATCCTGGAAATGGCTGGGGGAAGGCCTGGTGTTTGAGGAATAAAAGAAGGCTGGTTGGTCCCAGGCACAGCTAAGATAGCAGGGAGGGTAAGTGCAAAATGAGGCCCATTTCCATTTATTCAATATAACATTCTCTTTGCTTCATATTAGACCCTATTTTTGACCTGATGTTACATCCAGAGATCTAGTTCACAGTCATAATGCATTTTACATGACAAATGCTGTCATTTAGGATGTGCTAAGCCCTGGGACCTCTAAGGATGGAAGCTGGGGTAGTGTACTTTTTTCCAGGGAAGTAATATTTGAGCTGAGTTTTGAAGGAATGGTGAAAAAGGGTAGGACATTCCTGGCATCCAGGACTGCGTGGGCAAAGGGTAAAAGTACAGAGTTTGCTGAGAACTAGATAGGGAAGATAGTAGTGGAGGGACTGGTCAATGATTTTCACACTGTAGGCCAGGACTCAGCACATCATGGATAAATCAAACATCATTTAAAGAAGAAAAATAGCATAGACTAGAAAGTATCAAAACAATCCTACCTAAAATTTAGTGTTTTATGAGGATATGCATTTTTGTACTTGTAAAATGTATTTCTTACTATGAATTGAGTAAAAAAAGTTTTGATATCATTGTGATAGGTACTAGGAGAAGTTTAAACAAAGAAAACATAATGACATGAGATCAAAAAGATTAGAATTTACCTTCTGGCAAGCCGTGGATGGTATTGAGCTGACAGGCTGTCATTTGTGTTAAGGAAAATGACAGGCAGCAGTGTGGAAGATAGATTGGAAAATAAACACTGAAGACTGCATAACTGATTCGAAGGCTGTTGCCATGGTCCAAGTGGAGAGTGATCCTACCTTTCTCAGACTGATCCAGGTGTCTCACCTCAGTGCTCTCAAAGAACTCACTAGTCCCCCTATCTTAACACTTAGGACACAGGCTGAAATCAGTTGTGTAATTGTCTGTACCCCTCACTAGTCTGTATGACCCATGACAGCAGGGATGGCATCAGTTTTTTAGTTCCCTTCTTTGATGACATCATTGCATTTAGAATGCGATTCACAATTTGTAACAAGAACTACAAAGCTCTGACCATCTCTCTACTTGCATTTTCCACCACACTCACCCCATATTTTCCTTGCTATAGATACAGAGAACTGAAGTTCTAAATTGTTCTCTCAGTTTCTTTGCCCAGAATGCTCACTGTGCTGAGAACCTCCACTTCTATCACACACCTTCTGAACTCCCTTTCTTCCTTCAGATTTTACTTAAATGTCTTCTCCACCCCCCCATAGGTCCAAATCAAATCCAAACACTCTTCTGGCATTTTTCTTGTTAATAAGTCCATTTTTCTTTGCTTTTCTTCTCTTTTGATTTTTTTTTCATTTACTTATCCTACAAGGTCTTTGTCTTTACTAAACCAGTGCCCACACATAACAGGTATGCAATGGACATTTGTTGAATAAACAAACTTCTTTTTTTTGGGCGGGGTGCTACTGGGGATTGAACTCAGGGGCACTCAACCACAGAGCCACATCCCCAGCCCTATTTTGTATTTGATTTAGAGACAGGGTCTCACTGAGTTGCTTAGTGCCTCACTGTTGCTGAGGCTGGCTTTGAACTCCCAATCCTCCTGCCTCAGCCTCCCACCCATGAGATTACAGGTGTATGCCACCACGCCAAGTATAAACAAACTTCTGAATGGATAATAAATCCATCTGAGGCCAAGAAAATGGGAGGAGATGGTGAGTAACAGATTTGGTTGCAGATAAAACGAGGGGCCTTCATGTCACTAGGCTACAAGTATAGGCACGACACTCAGGAATGATTCTACTTCTTTGTCTGGTGTGTGTACCCATTTCTTCCTTAAAACCCCCTTCTTGGGGCTGGGGTGTAGTTCGGTGGCAGAGCACTTGCCTAGCGTGTGTGAGGCACTGTGTTCAATCCTTAGCGCCACATAAAAATAAAGAAATAAAATAAAGGCATTTTGTCCATTACAACTACAAAAAAAATTTTTTTTTAAAGTCCTTGTCCTCTTTATCCATGCAAACAGAAGTAATCCCCCCTTTCAGTTTACTTTGCTATCTACTCTTAGATGACTTTTGTTTCCCTTCTTCATTTTTAGTTGTTGGCAAGCATATTGTCTTAAATTTTATGCTTCATTAATGCAAGATGTTATTTTGAGTGCATATAGAAGGACTGCTATGTGTGTGCTATCTTTTGATTTATATCATATCCTGTGTATGCTCATGGTGTCCAGCAGTCTTGAAATAACTGGCACTAATATTTGATGATGACATGAATAAATCATTATTTCCATGCCCTCACCCTCTATTTTTTCCCTTTCTCTTCTTTCATTTGCTGCTGCATCTTTGTGCATGTGTGCACATGGTGCTGGAGATGGATCCCAGGGTCTCATGGGTGCTAGGCAAGTGCTCACTCCTTTCACTTGTTTTAATTCTCTTTAAGGTTTTTTCTTCTTTTTTACCCATCTGTTTTCTTCAGATTTCTATGCCCTTATGTTCTGGATATCTCAATATTTTTTTATTTTATAAAACAAAATGAGATAATTTTTCTACAGGTTTTGATGGTTGAATGTAAAGTATCTAGAACTGTGCCAGGGACCAAGTTGGCACACAATGTATATTCTTTTTTAAGCATCCCAAATTTAAGAAGCCAAAAGGACAGTCAATTTGAATTCTTGCAAGTTTTTTCCTATAAAAGAATTTTATCCTAATGGTAAATGCAATTCATGCTCACTGCAGAGAACTTGAAAATACAAAAATAAAGAAGAAAAATAATCCATAATTCTACCACCCAAAGATTAGTAACCTGACATTTTGGTGAATTTCATTCTTTTTCTTCTAAACATATTTATTTTATGTATTATGCATAATCTTATGCATATTGTAGCTCATTGGATTGTGAATATGTTCCCAGGGAAGAGAACATTTTCAAGAAAATATAATTTTATGAAAGTACACACTGAAGCGTTTGTGATAGTTAGAGGCATCAGTGTTATGGTTTAGCAAATCACAGTATATTGGATAGGCAATAATTTTTCCTTTAATTTAAAATAAGATGGCACAAATTTAAATGCCTTAACTGGCCAAGAAGAGAAAACAGTGAAATGGTATTCAATAACAGAAAATAATAGGATCTGTAGTGAATTGTAGAATGAATGTCCTGCTTAAAGACATTCAAATATGGTTCTAAAAATGTGATAATGCACAAACTAAATATGTCTAGATCACGAACTACTTAATTGTGAGCCCTGAATGAAACATATTTTCCAACTTCTTTTGTATGCACTATGTTGACTTGCAGGGGTAAGACAAATGAATTAAGAGAAAACTCAAATACGTAAGCAAAGCTCACTGTATTTACAAAAGCAAGATATGTTAGTTGCTTTTACTAGAACAAAAGTTCATGCAGTTAAATAAGTTACCATTTCCATTGCTCACACGATTACTCAACAAGTCCTATTAAATAAAAACCCTGTGGAATTTAGCTATTTCTATATCCTGGTTATTAAGTGCTTTTATTGATCTGTTTACAATAATTCTCTGTCCTCTAGAAAACTTTTAAAGTGGCTTCTGACATTTCTATAGTATCAGAGTTAATAAAGAAAACACTCAATTGTATTTCTGTTGTCCCAGGAGAAAGGAAAGTGAGGGGATGCTTGCAGTCACGTATTTTCTATGGCTGCTTTTGTGCTACAACAGCAGGGTTTAGTAGTTGGAACAGAGAGCACAGAGCTCTCTAAGTCTAAAATAGTTACTGTTTGGCACTTCACAGAAAAACTTTGGTAACCTCTTCCCTAGATTATTGGTACCTGTTTTGAAGTCTATAATGAACTCAAACTGTTAACTGTCTCACACTTAAGTGAAAATGTGTAATAGGCAGTGAAAATGTGTAATAGGCAGTAGAAATCAAAAACTCATGATTGTAGGCATTTAACAACAGAGCCTCAAAGTACATGAAGCCCAGACTCACAACTGAAGGGAGAAATAGACAATTTAATAATAATAGTTGGAGATGTCAATTTCTCACTTTCAGTAATGAATAGAACAACTAGAGAAACATCAGCAAGGAAATAGAAAACTTGAACAAAAACTATAAACCAACTAGACCTAACAGACCTTTGTAGAGCACCCTAAATAATAACAGGATACACATTATTATTAAGTGCATATAGAACATTCTTCAGGATAGACTGTATGTTAGGTCATAAAATAAATATCAATAAGTGTGTGAGGATTGAAGTTATACACAATTACAGTGGAATGAAATTAGTCATCAGTAATATAAAATTTGGTAAATTCACAAATTGTGGAAATAAAATACTAAAAAAAAGTGTGTCAAAGAAGAAATCACTAGGGAAATTAGAAAATGCTCTGAGATGAGTGAAGACAAAAACAGTATATTAAACATAAGAGATGCAGACAAAACAGCAGTTAGTGGTTCCTAAAGATCTATAACAAGTAAAGAGATTTAGCCAGTAATTTTAAAAATTCCCACACGTAAAAAGCTGAAGAGCAAATCACTTCATTAAAGTTCAAATGTTTAAAGAATTAACACTGACTTTCACAAATTCTTCAAGAATATGGAGGAGGAAATAATTCCTAATTCATTCTATAAGACCAGTATTATCCTAATAACAAAACCAAATAAAGATGTCACAAGAAAACTACAGACCAGTACCCTTTATGAATATACATATAAAAACCCTCCACAAAGTTTTAGCAAACCATATCCAGCACTATATATGAAGTTTATATACATCATGACCAAGTGGGATTTATTCTAGGAATTCAAGACTGATTCACCATACAAATACCAATCAGTGTAATACACTATATTAATAGGTAAAAGACAAAAATCATGTGATTATCTCAATAGGTGCAGAAAAAGCATTTGACAAAATCTAACATCCGTTATGATAAAAACATTTAAACTGGAAGTAAAAGGGAACTTCTATTTACTTGGTAAGGAGAAACTATGAAAAAAACCATTGAGAAAAACAGAGCTAAGGTTATACTTAATGGTCAGAGACTGAAAGCTTTTCCTCCTAAGAACAAAAAGGAGACAAGGATGTTGCTGTCACAACTCTAGTCAACTTTGTACTAGAGGTTCTGGTAGGGGCAATTAGAATACAGTGAAATAAAAGATACCTAGCTTAGAAAGGAAAGAGAGAAACTACTTTAGTTTGCAGATGACATGACCTGCTTTTGATGGTTAGTTTTATGCATCAATCTGACTGAGGCAAGAGGATGCACAAATAGTTAGTAAAACAATATTTCTAGATGTGTCTGTGAAAAACTAGCATTTGAATTAATAGACTAAATAAAGGTCACCCTCACCAATGTGTGTGGAGATCATCCAGTCTACTGAGGGCCCAAATAGAACTTTAAAAAGTATCTTCTTTTCTGTACTCCATCTGCTGCCCAAGAACCTCCTAGTTCTTGGACTCTGAAACTTATACCAGCAGGCATTCTCTTTCCTCCCCTCCTTTTAGTTCTTAGGCCTTCAGACTTAGATTGAGGTACAACATGAGTTTTTGGTTCTCTAGCTAGCAGACAGCAGATTGTGGTACTTCTTAGACTTTGTATCACTTGAGCCAATTCTCACAGTAAATACATATTTGTTCTATAAGCACCTGTACATGCTTGTCTATAAAAAAAAACCCTAAAGAACCTACAAAAGTATTATTACAGATAATAAATGAACACATATAAGGTTGTAGCATATAAGATCAATAAACAAAAATCAGTTGTATTTCTATATATTGGCAATGAACAATCTGAAAATGAAATTAGGAAAGTCATTCCAGTCATAATAGTATTATAAGTTCCTAGGAATAAATTTAACCAAAATAGTACAAGATTATACACTGAAAACTACAAAACATTATTGAAAAAATTACAAAGACCTAAACAAACAAAAAAAATGTTCTGTATTTATTAAATGGAAGAACTGTGATCCTTATCAAAATCCCAACTGCCTGGGGCTGGTGTTGTAGCTCAGTGGTTGAGCACTTGCTTCACGTGTGAGGCACTGGGTTCGATCTTTAGCACCATATAAAAATAAATAAATAATAAAATAAAGATATTGTGTTCATTTACAACTAAAAAAAAAACTGTTAAAAAAAATTCCAACTGCCATTGTTGCAGAAAATGGACTTGCTGGCTCTAAAATTCCTCTGGAATGCAAAGGACCAACAATAACCGAAACTTAATAAAGAACAAAGAAAAGTGTGTATTTTAAAAGAATCACTTTTCAGTTTCAAAATTTGCTATGAAGCTATAGTGATGAAGACATATAGGTCAATGGTACAGAATTGAGAATTCAGAAAAAAAGCCCAAACGTCTATGTTCAGTTGAATTTCAACAGGTGCCAAGACCATTCAGTGGGGAAAAGTATGGTTCTTCAACAAATGGCACCAAGACAAGTGAATGTCCATGTACAAAAGAATGAATTTGAACCCCTATCTTATGCCAGAAACAAAAAGACCTAAATGTAAGAGCTAAAAATATAAAACTTAAAAGGAAACAGTTGTAAATCTGTGTGATACTGGATTAGGCAATAGTTTCTTATATATGAAATCAAAACCACAAGGAACCAAAGAAAAATAGTTGAACATCATTAAAATTAAAAACTTGGGTGCATCAGAGAACACCATCAAGAAAGTGAGAAGGTGACCCATAAAATGGGAGAAAATATTTGCAAATCATGTATTTGGTAAGGATCTAATATCTAGAGTATTTAAAGAACTCTTAAAACTCAATAATAAAATACAATAGGCTTGATTTTACAAAAGGGCAAAGGGGTTTTTTTTGGTGATTTTTTGTTTTGTTTTTTGTTTGGTACCAGGGATTGACTCCTGGGCACTTTACTATAGAGCTACATCCCCAGCCCTTTTTATTTTTTATTTTGACACAGGGTCTCAGTAAGTCACTGAGGGTCATGCTAAGTTGCTGAGGTTGGCCCTGAACTTGTGATCATATTGCCTCAGCCTTCCGGTAGCTGGGATTATAGGTGTGCACCACTATACTTGGCTTGGGCAAAGGATTTGAATAAACATTCTACCAAAGACAAACATAAAAATGGCCAGTTAACATATGAAAAGATTCTCAACATCGTTAGTCATTAGGGAAATGCAAATCAAACCCACTGGATACTACTTCACAACCAGTAGGATGGTACAATAAAAAAGACAAAGGGGGCTGGGGTTGTGGCTCAGCGATAGAGCTCTCACCTTGCACCTGCAAGGCCCTGGGTTGGATCCTCAGCACCATATAAAACTAAATAAATAAAATAAAGGTATTGTGTCCAATTACAACTAAAAAATTTTTTTTAAATAAAAAAAAAGACAAAGGGGCTAGAGATATAGTTCTGTGGAAGAGCACTTGCCTGGCATGTGTAAGGCCCTTGGTTTGATCCCAGCACCCTACCCCAAAAGTGTTGGTATGGCCCTGAGGTTGTGTCTCAGTGGTCGAGCACTTGCCTAGCATGTTCGAGGGCCTGGGTTTGATCCTTGGTACCATATAAAAATAAATAAAATAAAGGTATTGTGTCCAACTACAACTAAAAAGTAAATATTAAAAAGAAAGTGTTGGTATGGGGGCAGAGAAATTGGTACTCTCATACATTGTGGCAGAAATATAAAATGGAGCAACAACTACCTAAAACAGTTTGGCAGTTCTTCAAAAAGTTAAACAGTTACCATAAAACTCAGCTATTCCATTCATAGCCGTATTCCCAAGAGATTGAAAACATGTTCATACAAAAACATGCACACAAATGTTCATAACAGCATTATCTATAATAGCAAAAAAGTGGAAACAACCTAAGTAACTACAAAATGAGGAATGAATAAACAAAATGTATACCCACACAGTGGAATATTTTCCCATCATAAAAAGGAATAAAATACTTGCACATGCTACAACATGGCTGAACCTTGAACACAATGTTCTAAGAAGCCAGACACTAAAGGACATTTAATGTCTGTTTCCACTAATATGCAATATTCAGAATAGGCTAATTCAGAGAAACAGTAGATTAGTGGTTGCTGGGCACAGGTATGAGGAAGGACGAATGGGAATGACTATTAACAAGTACAAAGTGGGTTTTTTTGACAATTAAAATGTCCTGGAATTACATAGGGTGATAATTACACAACTTTGAATACAGTAAACACACTATATACTTCAAAATATGAATTTTATGGTGTATGAACTATATTACAATTTAAAAAGTGAAATAAAAAACACTTGGAAAAAAGGATCAAAATTGGATAATAGACTGGGAGTTATTCAAAGAGGCAATTCATGGGGATGGATACTCGATAGGGATGCTGTCTAGTTTCTGCAGTATTCTATGCTGTTCTGTTTCTATGCTGTCCAACTGAGTGTTTAAAAATAATAAGAATAAAAAGTGAGAAAAGTTGTAAGCCAAACTGTCACAGTGCTTCTTTCTAGAGGGCTAAAAAATACTGATTTGGAATATAAGGTTATATATTGATAGCTCCCTACCTTTAAAATGGTAATAACAGATTTTATTTTGCTTTCAAAGAGTCAAATAATTGCATGCAAGACCATGTGTGGCACCACTGGGATTGTGGGGGGTGGGCATTCACAGTGACGTCTATGTGATCAGCCTCCTGGCACACAGAAGACAGTGCCAGTGGTTCTCATCCAAGCCATGGTGACATCAGAGGTAGGAAAACATTTTTGTAAAGTTGTCTAGGCCTCATCAAATATAAATTCCTTTCATTTCCCCAAGATAAAGACCCTCAAATCCATCAACTTTGGTGTTCAGACAAAATGACCTTAAAACAATGTAGAGTTAAAGTTGTCTTTGTTGTTATTAACTAGGCAGAATAGCCACAGCATCTCTGTGTGACTTTGGGGTGTGAAAATGTGACTGCTGAAAAGACCTTCTCCAATTTGCCCTCTCCAACCCCAACAGTTTATATTTTTTTTAAGTTGTAGATGGACCCAATATATTTATTTATTTATTATATGGTGCTGAGGATCAAAAACAATGCCTCACACATGCAAGGCAAGTGCTCTACCACTGAGCCACAGTCCCAGCCTACCCCACAGTTTTTACACCATCAAATAACAATAAGAAAAGGATTTGTGTCTCAGAAACAGCTTTGGGCTTTCTGTCTAGTTTGTGTTGGGCTTACTTTTCTGGTGTTTAGGGCTAGACCAGTAGAAAGGCCAAAGATAAAGATAATAAAGCCCATGTTTTTGTTGTCAGTGGTGTGGTGCATCAAAAAGCTGACTGGAATAGCATCCATGAGAAGGTATGTCAGCTCCTGATTCCATTGCGCACTACCATGCCCTTCTATAATTCAGAGGAAGAACGGCAGCATGGCTTGCAGCAGCTACAGCAGCGACAGGTAGGTCCTATAGGACTTTTTCAGGGTTAGCTCACGGGTGTAGTGAAACTACTACCTGCAAGGGCCAAACTGTGTTGGGATCACTAAATTGTAACCTTGGTAAGGAGAGAATTTGTTTTACATGTGTAAGTCCTTAATCCCATTCAGTCAGTTGTTTTTCACATCTCTACTGAACGTTTGCTAGATTAGTTTGCTAGGGTGGTTATAACAAGATGCCACAGACTAGGTGGCCCTTATTTTCTCAGAATTCTGGAGGCTGGAAGTCCAAGACTAATGTGTTGACTGGTTTGGTTTCTTCTGAGATCTCTCTTCCTGGCTTGTAGTTGGCCGCCGTCTTGCTATGTCCTTTTATGGACCTCTGTGAGCATGTATCCCTGTGTTTTTTTTGTGTGTGTCCAATTTCCTCTTTTTATGAAGATACTGGTCAGATTGAGTTAAAGTGGATTCAATTTTAACTTTTCAAAGGCCATATCTCCAAATACCATCATACTCTAAGGTACTGGAGGTTAGGGCTTCAGCTCACTAACTTCTGGGGGAACAGATCAGCTCTAGCATTCACATACCAAGTACTGTGATAGTCTTAGCACAGTCAGCTACTGCATAGAATAAATAAAGAAGAAGGGCAAAACTAGCTACTGTTATGACATTGATAACATCTCAATTGTTATTTTAAAAATTAGCCCTTTATAAGCCATAATTGTCTAAAAACTAGGTTCATTGATTTTAATGTTACAATGCCTTGATAGTAACCTGAAGATAATGTTGAGTTAAAGTTGTTTCTGATATTAGCTAAACAGGATAATTCCAGAAAGAAAAATGAGATTTTTTTTGAGAGAAATTCTCTCAAAATTAATTCAAATAGAAAGGCAGAAAGTTTGAGATCATCCTGAGATGTCTGTAGTTTTGGTAAGCTAAAGTTTTAATAGAACTATAAGAAAAATATACATTTGTTCATCTAGTAGCTTTATATTGAATCCTCATATTTGCCAAGCAGTGAACTAAGATGAAAAGACACTTGTTCCTGGGCCATGAGAAGCTCAGAGTTGTCTTTTTTCACTACCTGTTTTGGATATCATGTCCATCTTAGTTCAGGCAGTCTCAATATGTACCTTCAACCAGTTCAAAGGATGTTGGCCTTATCTCCAGGGATATCTACATCCACTTTTGCCTTTTACCATTTGACTGGCTGAGACAGTCTATTTCTATCTTCCACAGAAGCATTTGATTGAATTCTGCTACACTGTTGCCCAGAAGTATCTTTTTGAAAAAAAATATGCAGAAGCTGTTCCAGCAGCTTTGCATTCCCTTCGCTTCCGCCGGAGTGTGTACGGCCTGAGTTCAGTAGAGCTCGTGCCTGCTTACCTGCTATTGTCTGAGGCCAGCCTTGGTAAGTAGCACTGATCTAGGACCCCTGGAGCCCAAAAGGCTATGTTGGGTCTTGTCAATGACCACAGACTTCAGACTCGACAAAGCCTGATGTCTTACCCAAGACACCTTTTGTGGAATTCTTGAGCAGGGCTGCTGTGAAGTTTGACTTGAGCTGGGGAAAGAGATGCCACACTTAAGCCTACAGTTGACAGAAATCCCCTGAAGATGGCCTATGCAAAAGGAAGAAATTTAGCCAGGCATGATAGTTATATGTTTAATTAATTAAATGGTTATACCTTTAATTCCAGCTATTTGAGAGGCTGAGGCAGAAGGATCAAAAATTCAAGGCCAGCCTCAACAACTTAGTGAGATCCTGTCTCAAAATAAAATTAAATTTAAAAAATTGACTGGGAATATAGCTCAGAGGTAGCTCCTGGGCTTAATTCCCAATATCACAAAAAAGGCTGGGGGAGATTTTGGGGGATGTTGGAGTGTCCTGAAGGAATTGAAGTTTTGTGAGGTCTCGCAAGTGACCTGCACTGACGAGATGAGCTGGCTTCAAAAGAGCTGGCTACAATATTAAGCTAAGAAACTGGCAAAAAAGCACAGAACACAGAAGTAATTCCCATGTCGAGGGTAGGACAGCTATGAGACCTTAAGGGTCAGCTTCCATGCTAGAAGGCCCTGGAAAGAGAGCGTGTATCCAGAATCTTTTTTTTTTTTACAGGGAGGACACACAAAAGAGTTTCTATAGAATGTTCTTCACCAAATAAGGTAGGGGATAAGGTTTCAAAGGGGGACTGTCCAATCCCATTGGATAATGCCCAAGTCCAGAGCTGAAGCAAACTTCTTTGCCCAGCGAAGGTGAAAGCCATTTGCTTCGCACAGCATGTGGGATGCCAGACAGAAACCCCTTTTACTCAAGGATGAGAGGAGATGCTTAGCTCAAGGGCAGGGCGGCCTCCCACTGTGAGTCACTAGAATTGGAAAACTGTAAAAAAACAGGCTGGTGCTCTCAGTTTCTCTCTCTTGGTCCTTGTTTCTCGTCTGTTTCTCTACTTTGTTTTTTCTCTCTGCAGACCAGATTTTAATACCCTAAGTTTATTGCAGAAGATAGCTACCCTAAAATGTCAGATGTAGTTCTTAAATTTACATGTCTTCAAAGTTCAAGGAAGGTAATAGAAACTAATTAGCGTCTGATTTCCAATTACAAGTTCCTAGAAGTTACAATTTTGTTGATCCAGTTTGAGTTTGGTATCTAACCTTGTTCTTTAGAATCAGGTTTCCATAGTTCAGAGATAGAGGAAACCACTGCTATAAATAGGAAGAGGTGATTCTGAGAGTGGGGAGCACAGGCTTAGCAGATACCCACATAGTGGCTTCTACAAGAGAATTAGCACTTGGAGAGGAATTAACATTCTTGAGCATCTACAGTGTTTTAGGCACTGAACTACCACTTTGTGCAGCTAACCCTCATTTTATAAAAAAATTAAGTAAAACTGTTGGAAGTACAGTAGAAAGAACCCCACCCCACCCCATCCCCACTTTGCCGTATAAGAATAAATTGCTGACGTGATGCCCTGTCTCTGGAGTGCTTCAGCATATATTTCCTATAAAGACATTTTCTTACAGGACCACAATATAACTTCACCTACTGTCATCTACAAAGAAGCCTCTACTTGGTTTTTTTCCAATTTTCCCAATAACATTTTCATAGCAAAAGACATTAGAGAATTAGAAAAAAGTTAAAATTAATTTGGTTATCATGTGTCTAAAGTCTTCATTCTGGAATAGTTTCTCAATCTTTCTTTGACCTTGACACTTTTAAAGATTATGGGCCAATTATTTTATAAAGCATCTTTTCATTTGGGTTTTTCTGTTTCCTCATGACTAGACTCAGGTTATGGATTTTGGCAGAAATATCACAGAGATGACAATATGTTCTTTCCCTCCTATAAGTTGGCATGCGTTTTCAATTTTTCCATTACTAATGATGTTCATTTCATTTTATTTGATTTTTATCATGATCAACAGCAATTGGAAAATATTAGATGGAAAACTCCAGGAATTAATAATTTAAAAGATTTAAATAAATTTTATTATAGTTTATTATTATAATTATTCTGTTTTATCATTAGTTCTTGTTGTTCGTTTCTTTCTGTGCCTAATTTATAAATTAAACTTTACCATAGATATGTATGTATATATGGAGAAAAACAATATATAGGACTGGGATTGTGGCTCAGTGGTGGAGCACTTGCCTTGCATGTATGAGGCACTGGGTTTGATCCTCAACACCACATAAAAATAAAACCATCTACAATAAAAAAATTTAAAAACATAATCTGTGTGTACATATATGTGTGCGTATAAGTATATATGTGTATATGTATATGTACATATATATGTGTGTGTATGTGTATGTGTGTGTGTGTGTGTATATATATATATATATATATATATATATATATATATGAATGATTTGGTACTGCAGGTCTTGGAATATGTCCCCCATAGATAAGTGGGGGGTTACTGTAATAAAATGGCTGTTATTTTTAAGTCATTAAATTTTGGGCAGCAATAGCTAACTAGAACACTGGGTCTGCAAAGTTTTAGATCACTTGTATCAGGTTATTCTACAATCATTACATTTCTCCTAAACCTTTTTAGTCACCAGCCTATGGACAAAAATTCAGACAATTTAATTTAAAACTCTCAATTGGCTTTATTTTCAATTCTAGAATTAGGTAACACTTCATCCCATAAAGTAGAACAGGTATTCCTGATGTTCATTTTAATTACTTTATTAAGGTGATGTCTGCCAGGCTTCTTCTCTGTCATGTTATTCTTTCTCCCCTATACAATAAATGAGTTTGCAATTTTAGTTTTAATTGTATGGAGCTGTATGTTAAAGCCATATTCCTTATTAAACTTTCAAAGCAGTCATTCTTTTATTTATATCAGTATATACTCCTGGTTTCCTATTTTATTCAGTGGGTTATAATACATTGCTGTTATTAATTTGGTCCTCAAACTGTTCCCAGTTTGACCAGTGTTAGCTCCCACTCAAGCTGTCTTCTGAGTCTCCTTGGCATATCCCCATGTTTGTTTGATCATTTTCTGGAACATATCTCCAAGCATCCCTGATTTCCCTTCATGGAAACTGAAATGTGAAAACCAAGAACTGTGCACTGTACTGCCTGATACAGGGGTCTTGCTGCTCCCAGGCCATTTCAGTGGACAGAGTTAAAGAACATGTGTAAACATAGATGACCATGAGCCTATGCCAGTATGTCCAAATCCTGTACCATGCCACACACAGGCTTCAACCTAATTTTCTCCCATTCTGCATTTGTAGTGCCTTTCTGGCACTGAGAAAGCTGGCTTCCATTTTCACTAATCTATTTATATATTTAATCAGTCCCCTCCCTGTATTAACCAGTCCTCCATATCCAGCCCTATCCCTTCCCCCTTGCAGATGTCCTGCTCTACCTCCATGAGCTCTGAATCTTCGTTCTGTGTTGGTTCTTCTGCATGGATACCCTCCTCACTCTTTGGGCTCTCACCCGCTGTTTACCTACAGGAATGCCTCCTCACCCCAGTCATGTCTTTCCTTCCTAGGGAAAAGAGCTTTGGACAAAGTAATACAACCCAGGTTCTGTGAATGTGTGACACTGACTAGCTGTGGGATTTTGGGAAAGTCAACCTGGCCCAAGTCCATCACTTCTCATCTGGACTACTACTCACTGATCTCCCCACATCTTCTCTGGCCTCCTTCCAATCTGATCTCCACACAAAAATGTGATCAGATCACTCCCCTAAATTAAGATCAAGTTCCTAAAGCAACTTATAAAGCCCTGCTTGTTCTAGCCCTTAGAGAATTCTCTCACCTCCATTCTCTTACCTTATCTCTCCCTCTCTTCCTATATTGCCTTCTCTCAATTCCTCAGAGGTGTGGAGTTGTTTCCTTGTTCTGGAAGTCTTTTCTCTAACCATTCCCTGCACTTGTCCTCCTTTCTGCTTCACCCAATTAACTCCTACTCAAACTTCAGGTCTCAGCTGAAAGTTACTAAACCCTTGTCTAGAAGCCTTCCCCAGGGCCCTAGACCTAGTTGGTTGGGTCTATTTAATACACTCACTTAGAAACCTCCTCCTGTTTGCTGAGCACTTACTCCACTGATAGGTGTATATCATTGTGAGATTATTTAATCAATGTCTCTCTCTCTCCTGGACTTGACTGTAAGCTCAGGGAGAACTGGTTCTGTGCCTGTTCTAACTCATCACGTCTTCACACTTAGCAGAGTACTTAGGACAGTGAAGGTATTAAAAAACTGCTCTCATGGTACTTGGCACCTAGGCAGCACTGTGTAAGCATTTGTTGAATCTGAGTCCTTGTCACAGGATTGCTTTGGGGTTAAGTGAGTTCATAGGTAATGAATGTGACAGTGCTCTGAAAACTGGAGAGTGCTGTTGAAATGGAAATTTCACAACTGCACCAGGTCACTGATTTAAAACCTTGCCAACTGTAGTAAGCAGCTTTCTGTTGCTGTGACAAATACTTGAGAAGTCCGTGTAAAGGGGGGAAATGTTTATTTTGATTCACAGTTTCAGAGCTTTCAGTTCATGGTCACTTTGTCTGGTTGCTGTCAGGTCTGCAGTGAGGGAGTACATAACAGCAGAAGCACGTGGCAGAGGAAAGCTGCTCACCTCCTGGCAGCCAGAGAGAAAGGAGGGGCTGGGGACAAGATATGCCTCCAGTGACCTAGTTCCTGCAATGAGGCCCCACCTCCTATAGTTTGTACCCCCTCACAATCGCCATCAGTTGAGGATCAAGCCTTCAATCGAGGAGCATTTGGAAGACATTCCAAATCCAAACTTTAATGCCAATGCTTTTGAGACAGTAAATAAGTCACAACATTTGGGCACATGGTTCTTTCCCAACCTAGAGTTTCCTCCAGACTGAATTGGAAAACTAGCAGATATTCAGCCATTTCTTCTTTTTTTCCTCTCCTTCTTTCCTTTCTTCCTTTCTTTTTCTTTTCTATTTCTTCTTCCTCCTCCTCCTCCCCTCCTTCCCCTTTCTCCTCATCCTTCTTTTTATTTTAATCAACTAGAAAAGGCATTTTCAGTAACACTTGAAGGGGAGGCCACCCTACCCGTCTCCTACCACTGTTGGCAGTGCTTTGGGAGCAGGAGAAGCTGGGTTCAGATCTCTGCTCTTTCTTTACTGGTTTGGTGATTCTAGGCAGAGAGCTCTTCCTGACCTCAGGGCTGGCTTTTATTCACACTTCAGATATGTGCTTAGAGGAAAAGAATAGTCACAGAGGAATTTAGGCCCAAGAGGAAGGACAGAGCGGAAGGTCTGTATATGAGGGGTTCATATCTTCACCTCCTACCCCTTTATTGGTGCCATCTCTGCTGCAGCATTCGTCACATAAAACACTCCACACCTGGAGCACGCATCCTGCTCCACAGAATGCTGTAACAGTAATTTCTATTCAGTTCGAACAGCCTTTCTAGGAGGCAAGCAGGCAGACAGGCAGTTATTATATATCTTTGTAGCTAAACAAAAAGCTTTAAGTGAGAAGGGTATCTGAATATCAGAAATAATGGTAACTTTCTTTTCTCTCACTTTCTGCATTACTTAGTGAGGGTGCGTTGACCATTCCACCCCTCCGTGCCCCTCTTATATCTGCTCCATGTCCATTCACTGGTGTGGCTCAGGCTTTTTTTTTTTTTTTTGTCTGAACTATTTCAGAAATCTTCTATTGAATCTTCTACCTTTCATCCTCCCTTCTGGTCCCTCCTCTACTTTGGTTTCAGATCGTTCTAAATCTAAATCCAATTCTTTCTTTCTTTCTTTCTGAAATCTTCTCATTTTGTCCCCATGCATCAAGTTTCTTGGCATGACTTCCTAAGCCCACAATACTCTGCCCATGTGCAGCTGCTTCTTGACCTCATTCCTGCCACCCCATCTTTTGCACCCTGTACTCTAGGCTCATAGACCTGCAGTTCTCCAAACATAACCCACTATTTCCAATCTCCATGACTCGGCATATGCTGTTACCCTGCCTGGGATGCCCTCTCTCACTCTCTTATCTAGGTGGGGAACTTCATCCTACAACCCTGCTCAGCTCAGTGGACCCTGCCTCTCCCTACTCCATTGTCTCTCTCCATCTCATTCATAGAATTAAACATTTCTTATTCTGTGCCACTTTCAAACCTTATGTTCCACCATCACATGTGTACTCTGTTACAAATATGTGTTTTCATTTTGCACATGCCTTTCCCCAGCCCATCTTTAAATTTTTCAAGGGTAATAGCTTTGATTCATCTTTGAATTCTTGAGAACTTTTTTGGAGGTTCTAGCAGGGGTGCGCAGCTACTCATATACCCTTGACTGAAGAACGGTCCTCCTCTATTGGCAAAGATCGTCCTGAATTCTTATTACTCAAGTAAGGTGTGACACATAAAGGGTATTCAATTTGCATAAGTATCGTTTTTGAAATTCAGATATAATTTACATACTATAAAATTTACCCTTTTTAAAAAATATTTACTTTTTAGTTATAGGTATACACAATATCTTTATTTTTATTTTTACGTGGTGCTGAGGATCAAACCCAGTGCCTCACACATGGTAGGCAAGCGCTCTACCTCTGGGCCACAACCCCAGCCAAAAATTCACCCTTTTAAGGTACAATTCAGTGGTTTTAGTACATTTATAAGGTTGTATGACTATCACCACTATTTAATTCCAGAACAATTCAAAGAAACCCTGTAACTGCTAGCAATTATTCCCTGTTAGCCATTCCAGCCCACCCACTTGGGTCCCTAGTCCCTACAAATTCACTTTCTATCTAAATGGATTTGCCTATTGTAGACATTTCATATAAATGATATATAATATGTGGCTTTTGGTGTCTAACTTCTTTCTCTTAGTATAATGTTTTCAAGGTTCATCTACATTGTAGAATATATCAATACCTTTTTCTGGCTAAATAATATTCCACTGGTAGACATGATTATATCACGTTGCTCATCTACTCATAAAATGATGGATGTTTTAAGTTGTTTCTGTGGGGGTTTTGGCTGTTCTAAATAGGCTGCTGAGAATATTCATGTGTAGGTTTTTGTGTGTCAATAAATATTTGAACCAATGAACAAATGAGTGTATGGTGAACCTTACTTCTTCATATGTTCTTTTCTTCTTTTTTAAAAAGAATTATTATTATTTCTTTTAGTTGTAGATGGACACAATATCTTAATTTATTTATTTTTACCGGGTGATGAGGATCAAACCCAGTACCTCACACATGTGATGCAAGTGCTCTACCACTGAGCCACAACCCCAGCCCCTCGTGTGTTCTTTTCATCATGTGTTCTTTGTAACCTTCTTTACTGCTTTCTGGCAGGTATGGGCCGGATTGTTCAGGCTGAAGAATACCTATCCCAAGCCCAATGGACAGTCCTCAAGTCAACTGACTGTCAAAATGCAACACAGTCATTATTGCATCGGAACCTGGGACTTCTCTACATAGCCAAGAAGAACTATGAGGAAGCCCGATATCATCTGGCCAATGATGTAAACAAATTAAATTATAACACCTGGATGTTTCCAAGAAAAGCTCTGTTCAGTTTTTTGTTGTTGTTGTTGTTTGTTTGTTTTTATACTAAGCATTTCTCGAAACTTTTTGTTTGAGAATGCCCTTTGGTGGCTGTTAGCACATCTAATGGCCTGAATTTAAACCTTTCTACTTCCTGGCCATGCCACCGTTGCCAGGTTAGATCTTCCCTGAGGCTCAATTGCTCTGAGAATAATAAGTGGGGATAGACTGATTCCTGATTAAGAGAAAGGCTTTGCTCCTAGTCCCAACTCTGTTGTTTCACTACCCTCATAGTCTGGGACAAATTACTTTACCTTTTTTATTGCTTACAAGACAAAAAAAAAGTCTCTTCCACATTGGGTCATTGCAAAGATTAATAATAGAACAATATGTGTGCAGTACTTTGGCTATTTTTAAAAATAACACTGTCTACTTCAGAGTGTGGTTATTAAATTTAAATGAGCTAGATCTATAAGAAAGCACTTATAAACTATAAAACTCTATGAATGTTAGATAGGATAATGAGGATGATAACCAAGCTGTTCTTCCAAAATTATGAGATTCCCATTAGGATTTTAGTATTGGAAAATATTACAAGAGAGGAGTTCCTGAGCCTGAAATCTGGGTTAGGTTGGGGCAAATTGCACTTTCCATGTAGGTTAGTTCTTTCTTTAGCCTTCTCCAGCAGGCAATGCTCCCTCTGGTTGCATGCCACTGCACAGTACCCATAAATTCATTCTGATGCTGGTTATTTCCAATACTCTAAATTTGTCCTTTGCCCTGGGAGGATGACCTCCATGAAATATACAACCCAGACCCCATTGCTGTCTGGTTTGGGTTGAGTTTGGAGAATGGGAAGCAGAGCAGGGGAGTGGAGGGTGTGAGAGAGATTGGGGTATTTATATTCTCTGCTGCCTTCCTGCCCCACTTTGCTCTGGCAGGGCAGTCAGTGCTCCCCTGTGGCCACAGTGTCTTATCAAGGGACCTTCTTCCATAGTGCTAGCACTGGCTGGGGTTACCCCTGTTTTCTACCTCTGGTTTTTGAACTGTAGGGATGATAATGGTTTCTTGCTGTTGGTTGTCCTTGATGCTTCACTAGCCCTTGTTGGTTCCTTAACCCTTTCACATCTCAAATATTTTTTCTACTAGACTATCTTCAGGCAATCCTTTTGAGGGTGACATCATTTCATCCTGGCCCCCCGACCCATGTAATCATCCTTTGAGCTTTTTCTCTATCCTCCACATCCTCCAATGAATTAAGCAGAGGCACATTCTGTCTTGAGCTGGGCCACCCAGTTATGAATTATGTCAAACACACATTCTTTAGCCTAGCTTTTTTTCCTTTTAACCTATTTTATTGATATATACCAGAAAATTCACCCATTTTAAGTGTGCAGTTCAATGATTTTTAGAACATATTCAGAACTGTGCAGCTATTGGCACAATCGAGTTTTGGAATATTTCCATCACCCTCAAGAAATCCCTTATATCCATTTGCAGTCATTTCTCATTCCCACTCCAGGCCCAGGCAACCACTTTTTGATTCCTTAGATTTGTCTTTTCTAGACATTTTATATAAACAGAATCACATATAGAACTCAGATCTGACTTCTTTCACCTTGCATAATCAGTTTGGATTCATCCATTTTTTTTTTCTGAGTAGTAGTCCCTCATCTTGGGTAGTCCACAGTTTGTTTATCCATTCATCATTTGATGGGACATTTCAGATGTTTCTCTTTGGGGCTATAATGAATAATGTTGCCAAAACATTTGTGTACAAATCTTCATGTGGACATATATTCTCAATTCTCTTGGGTAGGTACCTAGAAGAGGAATTGCTTAAACCTCTCGAGGAGCTGCCAAACATTCCCACCAGCAATATGTGAAGGTTTCGTTTTTCTCCTCATCCTCACCAGCACTTGTGGTTTTCTGGGTTTTTGATTACAGCTATCCTACTGGTGTGTAGTGGTATCTCATATGGTTTTATTTTGCATTTCTCTAATGACTGTCAATCTTAAGCATCTTTTATGTGTGTTTATTAGCTATCTACATATCTTTCTGGAGAAATTTCTAGATTCTAAGCCCATTTTAACATTGGATTATTATAAAAATTATTTCTGTGTATTCTGGATATAGGATCTTTATCTAACTTGATTTGCAGAAGAATTCCGGCATTCTCCTTTCTCCTCCTGCAATAGATTTATTTTGCCAGTTGTGCATTTGGAACAGAGGACATCAGGACCTCAGGAGGCTACTTCCACTTGGCTAATACCTTCTATGGTCTTCAAAAAGTGGACCTAGCAGACACATTGTACACTAAGGTGAGCTAGAGAATGTGGGAACTGAACCTTGACATTTAGGCCAGGTATATTACAACTGGTGTAAGACCATTTGTGAGAAACCTACCATAAAGAGAGGCTCAGAGAAATAAAGGGTCTTGCCCAAGGTTACATAGCCTGATACTACCAAAATAGATTAATCCCTAGCAAATAATAAATGATAGTCCTAAGAACCAGAGCTTAAGAGGCTCTCTCTCACCCAATGGGAGCAAGCTAATGTGGGTGTATTGAGGTGTGTGACAGAGAAGAGCTTTATAAGGGACATTTATTGCTGCAAGGTCCTGTCAAAGGATCAAAGAACTTGAAAGTAGCCAGGCATGGTGGCACATGCTTGTCATCCCAGCTATTTGGGAGGCTGAGGCGGGAGGATCACAAGGTCAAGGCCAGCCTGGACTTAACAACACCTGTCCAAAATTTAAATTTTAAAAAGGGATAGGCATGTATCTCAGTGGTGAGTGCTTGCCTAGCATGCACAAGACCCTCGGTTAAATCCCCAACACAAAAACAAAACACTCACAAAAACTGTTTCCAATATATTAAGATATCATTTAAGTTCATTCAGTACCACCTCATTTAGCTAGCAACTGTTTCTGTGTGTGATATAGGCTCTCAAGTTGTGACTCTTGATTCATACTTTAGACCCAATTCTTTAAAAGAGGCATTTTGGTATAGCTAAAAAGCCAAGAATTTTGGAGTCAGACAGACCTGGGTTTAAATTCAGGACATGCCACTTAACAACTCTTCCCAAAAGTCCAGTGTGCTCATAGCTTCTCTGAGCCTCAGTTTATTTACATATAAAATGGAAATAATAAGAATATTACCTCAATTATTGTTGTGAGGATATAAGTGTTTAGGGTTGTTTGTGTCCTGTGAATAGTAGCCATTGTTATCAGATCCCACCAGGATTGCTCTAGATGTGCCCATTGCAGCCCATCCCTGAACACATTAATTTGGCCAGGGCTTTTTGGGTTCCTAGGGCTCCCTTTGCCCCCAACTCAGGAACTCTGACCCATGTGCTGCATTCCCACCTGGCTGATCTAACAGCTGAGGTCTGGCTTGCTTGTCTGATAGACATCTTCTTTTCTAACAGGTCTCAAAGATCTGGCATAAATATTTGAATGAACACTATCAAGTCCTCTCACAGGCTCATGTAGAACAAGCAGACTTACTGCGCAAACGATTTGTGAATGACACTGGCTTGGGTAAGTGCTGGTTCACTCTAGGAAGCAAGCCATGACCTCATCCTACCTAATCACAGGCCTTACACCTAACAGGGAGAGTAGCTGTTCCCATCATGGGGCATATCAGTGCCACCTTCCCATTTTACTGATGGGGAAAACCGAGCTTTTACTAGGGCTGGGAAGAATTCAGATTCTTCTTATGCATAGCCCTCAGGGAATAAATATGGGACAGATTTGGAGGCATAAAAGACCCTGAAGAGCATCCATTTCTTCTATATTATCCCTCCAGGGAACATAAGCCATGAGATAGTCTCTATACAGTTTAACCAGGCAGGCAGCACATATCTGTAATTCCAGCTACACTGGAGGCTGAGGCAGGAGGATCTCAAGTCTGAGGCCAGCCTTAGCAACTTAACAAGATCCTGTCACAAAATGAAATAAAAGGCTGGGGGTATTAGCCCGGGGCTAGAGCACCACTGGATTCAATCCCCAGTATCAAAAAAAAAGTTGCATTGCTAATTAATTCTGATGTCTCACATTCATTTCTCCTTTACAGAACAGTGAGCTCCTCTGAAGCAGGGCTAGATTTGATTCATGTCTATCCCCAGGCTCAGCAAAGGACTGAGTGTTGAGAGCACTGTACAATATCATGCCCTCTGAGATAATAGAAAAGGGATCTAGTTTCTGCTCAGAAGAGTCATTCAGTACAGTGGGTGATATAGAGCCTATGTGCAATAACAAAGAACATTCCCATGACTATAAATTATATTACAGATGAATACCAGAAGGAAGAAGGGAGGACGGTTGGGTGGTGTTGAAGGGAGACTTTTTCAGAGGAAAGACTTTGAGGGAAGGTTTAAAAAATTAATTAGTTTATTGGATTTTCTCTCATTATAAAAGTGGTTTACCGTATAGCAGAAATCTTGGAAATCATAGCTATCCAAAGATCACCAACCTTTAGGCTTATTACTTAAATACATGCCTGTAAGTCCCTGACTCATAGTAACTGTTTATTTACTAATGTGGGACCAAAAACCACTGGGGGGAAAATGGTGACAGACTCATGTGAGGAAGCAGAAAGGCTATTGCTTAAGTATCTTTGGACTTAGGGGGAGAAATTAAGCCACTACTATGGCAAGATATTCCCCTTGCTCCCTCCATCAGCTCTAGGGTGGAAGCAGAAGTGAACCCAAGGAACCTAGCTGTAACAAATGCCCTGGGTTTAGGAGCCCACAAGATTTATTAGAGTTCAGGATCTAAAGGAGAGACAGCTTAGTGACTTTGGGGCTTGTGGAGGAGCATTTTTTAGGTTACTCTGGTAGTGACATGCCAGGCAGTGCCCGAGGGCTGCCTGAAGCTGTCCCACTTCCTGCTCTGCATGTGGCACAGTCCTTCTGCAGCTGGAGAACTTGCTGTGATTTGTGCTGTTTCCATTGGAACCCTGGGAAGAGGCCAGGCCCCTGCCCATGGGGGGCTTATGATGAGGGCAGGCTCTGCTGCCCACCACCTGCGTTTCTTTCCTCCCTTTTCAATGCAGATGAAGCCCAGGAAGCAGAAGCCATTCAGATCCTGACTTCAATCTTGAGCATTCGAGAATCAACTTCTGACAAAGCTCCTGAAAAGACTATCTTTGTTCTGAAAACCTTGGTCATGCTTCACTACCTGATGATGAATTCTTCCAAGGCAAGTTTCCCCAGAGGCAGCTTGTGTAAAATGCAGAAAGAAATGCATCAAGTAGTTGAATCCATCTGTTTTTGCCCAATTCCACTAGCTTTTTGTCCTTAGGGAGCAAGCCCTCACTCTAGAAAAGTTCACAAGCTCATGACATTTCTCTTTTGCTGAGTCCAGCCTGCTTAGTGGGACCTGGATTGTCTCCTTCCCTAGGGAAGCCTTCTAGGATTGGGGAAGTACTGGGAAGCTTGCAGGGCAGGAGGGCTCTGGAGGGTCCTTGGAGTAGGACATGGCTGCTTTAACTGCACTCAGTTACTAATTTCCCTTTTGCTACAGAGATTCAGGCAGGAATGAACTGCTGTGAAATGGTTAAAAAGGTAACTGTTTTTGAGTAATTAGTACATGCCAGTCACTGTCTTAAGCCCTTTACATAATTATCATATTTAATTCTCAAAACAACTTTATGAAGTTAGTATTTTATTATCATCATTTTAGAGATAAGGAAACTGAGGCATAGAAAGGCTCAATTCTTTGCCCAGTTTCATAATAAGAGAGCTCATGTAAAAAAAAAATTATTTGCCCAGTTTCTTACAGACGGTAAGTGGCATGTCTAATTTATTAATGGACTGAATCAGTCATTCATTCAAATATTTTTTGAGCAGCTACCATTTGCTAGACACTATTCTAGGGAATGGGGATACAGTGGTTAACAGAAAGACAAGTTTCCTCTCTCTATGGAATTTATGATTTTTAGAGGAGGGGAAGCCACAGTAAATAAGTAAATGTATAAATGTGTAATATAACTCTAGACAGTAAAAATTTCCATAGAAAAAAACAAAGTAAGCTAGGGTTAGTATAGGGGGCTGGTTGGAGCAGGTCTTTCTCTGTGGGTGACATGGGAAAATTTATGTTTTCCTTCCCTACTCCCTCCTTCCCTTCCTTCCACAAACTTTTCCTAAGCACTTACTGTACATCAGGGCTTGGGGAAGCTCACAGTTATAATAGAGTGTAAAGCAAATCTCAGGGCACTGTGGAAGCCCAGAATAGGGGCACTGACCCTGTCTGGAATGGGTAGGTGGATTATGGAATATGGAAGTGTTCCCGCTGAACTTTAAATTTACATTGGCCAAAACCTCCTTTCTGCAGTACAGGGTCCAATTTTGGGGAAGTTATTATCCCATAGTGTGTTAGGATGTCAGATCTAATAGAGATCCTCAGACAAAAGGAACACATCTGGACAAAAGGAACACCTCACTTCCTCAGGTCTTTACTCAGCTGTTTTTTCCATGACACTTTCTGAGCCTCCCTGTCTAAAACTACAAAACCCTACCACCACCTCTAATGCTTCTGATTCCTCTTTCTTTTTTATTTTATTCCGTAGCATTTATCACTAGTTAAGATACTATTATGTTTTACTTGTTTTGTTTATAGTCTTTCTTCCATACAATATTGTAAGTTCCATGAGGACAGGAATTTTTGCCTGTAGTCACAGTACCTGGAATATAGCATCCATTCAGTAAAAATATTTAGTAAATATTTTTTAGAAGGAAAGAAGAAAGAAAACAAGAGAGAAATAGAAAACTAGAGAGCATCCTAAAATGTCCTGTGGAGCCTCTTCCTGGGTTAAATTTTCAGGTCACATGGCTCCTAGGACTATGCCAGGATGATAATTTATTTGTGGTACCTGTCACTTCTGTGCCTCCCAATGCTAGTCCAGAGGACTCTGATTAAGATCCTACAAAGAACCAGGCCTAGTGGTGCATACTTGTAATCCCAGCAACTCATAAGATTGAGACTAAGGCAGGATGATCACAAGTTTGAGGCCAGCCTGAGCAACTTAGCCAAACCTTGTCTCAAAAAACAAAAAGGACTGGGAATGCTCAGTGATAGAGCACTCCCGGGTTCACCAAAAAAAAAAAAAGCAACAATCAAAACCCCAAACTCCCTACAAAGACTTGAGTTTACTAAGGAGTACCCATTTACTTAGTTTGTTAAGTACTTAGTACTAGTTGGTTAAGTCAGATGGATTTTTCTGGTGTCCCTACCCACTGAGCACAAATATGGCTAGCTGTCCAGGACCCAGAGTAAGCAAAGTAAGTTCACAGTTTTGTGAAAAAGAGCTCAGTGGCTGGTGTGGGCAGGTGATGAGTCCTCTCCCCTGTTTCTGGAGTTGAGCACAAATGGAGCTTCCCAATGTTATGCATTTCTGGGCCAAGTTCCTTTTGTCACTTCAATTTTATTTCAGGCAGAAGAATATGCCATACAAGCCCTCAATCTGGCCAAAAAACTGGAACTCAGTGACGAAGAGCAAAGCAACATTGAAGAATTACTACACCTCATCTCAGCTGAAGAAGAGCATCCCATTACTTAGTGACCCATGAGCTCTGCATCATGGCTATTGAACGCCTAATACATTTCAGTCTTGCTCAGCGGCTACTGGTCCTCTGGATTGCTGAAGTGTCCACATTTTTTCCATGGGACTGCACCCATAGGTGGGATTTTTTAGCATATGTGAGGGAATATAGAGCTTTAGGCATAGAAATCAGTAAAACTACTGTTTATCATGAATTTGTCCTTGGTTTATTATGATTTTGTATGACTTTGAGTAATGTGTGGTCAGGTCACTAATAAGTATTTGTACTTAAACTGTAAATAGTTTGTCATATTTCCCAAAAGTCTCTCAGTGATGTGTTTCATAAGTCTATGCCAAGTGAGGAGTAGAGAATAGAGCTATATTGGAGCAAAGTTTTATATTCTATTGGAATTAAGTTAGCATTAATCTGAGGCAGATTGTGACAAAATATCCATTGTAATTCCTACAGCAATCACTAAGAAAATAACTCTTAAAATAGTTAAAAATTAACAAAGATTTAAATGGTGCACTAGAAAATATCCACTTACAGCAAGAGAAGGCAGTAAAGGAGGAATAGAGGAACACAAGAGACCCGGAACATTGAGAAGACAGCAAAATGCGACGTAAACAAGAAATGAGGACTTCACAAGTCAAGAGAGCCCAGGATGCATGGGCTGAGATGCCGTTCCAAGCTGGTGTCTTTAATATCTCGTACAGTAATTTGAAGCAGAAGTGAGCCATCTTATACTCCGTGGGAGAGAGGCACTCTGAAAGGCCACCTGTGATGCAGAGGACAGAGTTCAGGCCTTGCGCTCAGTAATGCCAGAGTTTAAAACCCAGGTTTCTTACATGATAGCTTTGGGACCTTGATCCCACATAGCTTTACGCATTATTGTTGTGAAATGGTCTAGATGTGGCCACACCTGTATCGGCTTGTCCCATCTTGATGACTTTGGACACTTAGCACATCCTTTTTTCCCCTCCTTTAGCTCTTTTCTGAACTTAACAAAAAGCATTTGCTTCCTGGGTAGATCCACACACAGGGTGAATATGTGCAGATCAGGAACCTGTCAGAGAGTTTTATGATCCTCACTGTAGATTAATTCATTCAGATACAAATAATAAAAATATGTCAGATGGTTTACCCTGCCCCTTTATGTAAAATCAGCTGGAACCTCCATTCCCTACCTTTGGAGATTCTCATACTTCTCTAAGATGGCTGTGCAGTCCCTGGGGCTCACTTGTCTTTCAGCCATTTCTTCATCCAGTTTGAAGCTTCAGCATAATATTCTCCAATCTGCATTGTATAGCTGTTCCTTCTCTTTAGGAATACAACCACCTCTTCTTTTTTCTCATTCCCTAACCCCAAATAGGAACCAGCTCTTTTAAAGAGACTCTTAGTGAAGACTGGGGGGCAAAGAGGAGGATCAACAATTCTACAGAAGATAATAAAAAAAAAAATTAGAACTTCCAATTCTAAAATCATCCTTTAAAGTCTATGCTGTTACACTCTAGCTCTCTCCCTTACCATATCCAATGGCCCTTCTCTGTTTTCTTTTTAACCCTTATATATTTTCTGTTTTCTCTAATCCTGAATTCCTGTTCATTAATACTTCTGCACTGAATCTATTTGTATAGTTATTATTTAAGTTAAATTCTTTAAATTTTTTGTTTCTATTAACTGATTTTCTTTTTATTTATAGGCCATTATTTTTCTTTTCTACATGTCCAATAATTTCATTTTCAGTATTTCTTCTTTTCTAACACTTGTGTTTTCAGGCCATAATTTTTCCTCAAAACAGTGCTTTCAATGATCCCACCTATTTTAAAATGCAATATTTTATTTTTATTCTTAGTGTTTTAAAATTTTTTATGACTCATGAATCATTAGAAAGATGAATAGTTAGTCAGCTTTCCATGACTGTGACAAAATACCTGAGATAATCAACTTATAAAGAGGAAAGATTTATTTTTGATCACAGCTGCAGAGCTTTCAGGCTATCATTATTTGACTTCATTGTTTTGGGGCCTGTGATAAAGTAGAACACTGTGATGGAGAGTGTGTGGTAGAGCTAAGCTGCGCACCTCATAGTGGCCTGGAAGCAAAAATGAGAGCAAGGGACATATCCCCTTCAGGGGCGTGCCCGAAATGACCTGAATTCCTTCCTCTAAGCCCCACCTCCTAAAAGTGCCACCACTTCCCAATAGTGCCACAGCTGGCAGCCAAGCTGTTAGCATTTGGGTCTTTGGGGGACATTTAAGATCCAATATGATTCTTAACTTCTAAAGGAAGGTGATTTTCTTTCTTTGTTGTTGATTGCTGGCTTAGTTTTCTTGTGGTCATAGAACATGTTGCATACAATTTTGATAGAGATTAGTTGAAATTTAGATTATGACCCAGGATATGGCCATTATCTATAAATGTTCCACATGTGTTAGAAAAGAATGGAATTATTAGGAGCAAGGTCCTGTATGTGCCCATTAAGTAAAATTCATTCATATTTTCAAATTTTTGCTGATTTTTTTGGTACCAGGGATTGAACCCAGGGGCACTTAACCACTGAGCCACATTCCCAGCCCTTTTTTTATATTTTGCATTTAGAGACAGAGTCTTGGGCTGGGGATGTGGCTCAAGCGGTAGCACGCTCGCCTGGCATGCGTTCGGCCCGGGTTCGATCCTCAGCACTACCTACAAAGAAAGATGTTGTGTCTGCCGAAAACTAAAAAATAAATATTAAAATTCTCTCTCTCTAAAAAAAAAAAAACATAGAGACAGGGTCTTGCTGAGTTGCTTAGGGCCCCGCTAAGTTGCTGAGGCTGACTTTGAACTTGCAATCCTCTTGTCTCAGCCTCCTGAGCCACTGGGATTACTACAGGCATGTGCCACTGTGCCCAACTTTTGCCAAATTTTTGTTAATTCTCAAGAGAGGTATGTAATCATGAATTTATCTGTTTCTCCTTATAGTTGTGTCAATTTTTGCTTAATATACTTTAAGGCTTTGTTATTAGCCATATAAATTTAAATAGAATTATGTTTTCCTGGTGAATTAAATTTTAGTATTGTCTCTACCAAAGCTTTTGACTTAGTCTATTTTGGTCTTAATAAAGCTGCACCCATTTCCTTGGGGGCTGGATTATTTGTTGTCAGTTAGGCATCCTCACCATTGCCTTCATCATTTACTTCTGCTTAGAGGAGGAGCTTGGAAGTCAATTCCCATTGTGCCCTTTCTTTAATGATTAAGGGTAAAATTCTGCCAGTGAGGGCCGACTGCTCAAGATTTGGAAGTTGCATATGGAGCACTCATGAATCTCTCCAAGAATAATCCGTTCTTGTTTTCCTGAAAGCATATTTCCTGTGAAAGCAGCTTGCTGACCTTTGTTTTCTGATTTTTATCACTCAGCTATTTAAAAGATTGTGTAAGCTTCTGATTCCCTCCATTAAATAAATCTGTTTATTCACAATACTTAAGGAGGCTTCTGTTTTCCTGACTGACTGAAACACTTGACATTCTTCCTGCAAATCCTTTATTTTAATCTATATCTTTATGTTCTAGATGAATCTCTTACAAAAATAATGAGATTAGATATTTCATATCTGTGATTCTTAAAGAATCATTTATTTCATTTATATTTTGTTTGCATACTAAATTATTTAGGATTAAGTCTATAATCTTATTTTGTGCTTTCCAGTTGTCCTGCATGTTATATTTCCCTCTTTCTTTTGGATTGATTACATAGCTTTCTCTCATTCTGTTTCTTCTCACCCTTTGTCAGTCTGTTGGTTATAGCCTGTGTTTTTGTACTTTTAGTGATTGTTCCAGAAATTGAAGCATTTGTTTCTAAGTTATCAAAATCTAATATTCAGGAACCTTCATCTGCAAAAGACAAAGTCTTTAGACCCTCAACTATATTTACCCCAACCAAACCTATATGTTATTACTGCTATTTATTTCCAACATATCTTTTTAAAAAATATTTTTTAGTTATCAATGGACCTTTATTTTATTCATTCACATGTGATGCTGAGAATCAAATCCAGTGTCTCACATATACTAGCAAGTGCTCTACCACTGAGCCACAACCCTGCTCTTCCTATATATCTTAAACTCAGAAATCATAATTATCATTTTATAATGTTTTTGTATTTTTTGCTCTCATACCTTCCATCTGGGCTCACATTACTAATAAATCTTAGTACTTCCTATAATGAGGGTTTGCTGATGGCAAATTCTTAGATTTTCTTTCTTTTATTAATATGAAAATATTTATTTTGCCCCCAGATTTTGGCTCTTCAATGAAAATGTATTTCATTTTATACATGATATAGTGATGCAGGAAATAATCTCAATTCCAAAAAGCTCTGTGAAATGTGGTTTATTTGACTCCAAAGACTAGACCAGGAACTCTAGTAATGCTGAGGCTCCCTCAGAGAGTCATACAAGTGCTGCTATTCATCTCCCACCAGCTAATCCTATCTTTCCTAAGTATCTTTGGCAGATTTTGCAGGGTAGAGCTTATGAATCATCCCTGAAAGATCCTACTAATTTTTTTCTATTGCGAGCACATATGCAGTGTTAGAAATCACATCATATTGTCTATGAACCTTTATTTAACAAAAATCGACCTTTATTTAACAAAAATGAGGAGAGAAGTAGGTGCTTGGCATTCTTACTAGGTAACATTTTATCATTGCACAGCTATGGGCCTGTACTGTGGAGTAGTCCTTAGAGGACCATGATTCAAATAAAATTGCTCTACTATTAGTAGGCCTCACCATGTCCGACAATAGCTACACGTGCAAATGAAGTATCTTTGTATTCACAATGACTACAAAGTTTGACATCTGTCAGGAACAGTAGGTCACATGAAATAAACATTTAGCAAATAAATGCTTCAAAAAAGATGGTGAAGCATTATTGGAATGACAGAACTGTGCAAGTTTTTCACTCAACAGAAAACGTATGTCTTTCTTTATATTCATCAAGATCAATGACAAAGTAATGGAGGTAAATATTTTATTTCATATATATGCATACACAAACACACAGCTTCAATAGCTAATAAATATATCAATAAGAAATAGCAGGGTTTTTTTTAAGTAGCAGGTTTTAAAAGCATAAGAACAAGTTTACTATTAGGAACAGACTATAAAACCAGGATTATATAATCCCTTAAACATTGTCCCTTGCTTGCAAACTTTTGTCAGGATTGTAGGTCTCCCAGAATATCTTAATTAACCTGGCCAAAAAAGAAAAGAAAAAGTTTTCAATGAAAAAATATGGTAGATAGTTTGAAAGTTTTACCACAAGAAACAAAATTAGATATCAAGATTAAGGAAGATAATAGCAAAAAATAATAACAAAAACCATTGGAGTTTTTGTTTTGGTTTCCTGGTTTAAATAAGTGGATGGTATTGTGCACTCAGGTGAGGAAGCCCTGGAAGAGAGACAGGGATGTCGGAGAGAGATGAAAACATGAATTCCGTCTGCAGTGTGATGACTTTGAGGTATTATGAAACATTAGAGGAGAGATGAAGGTGGGTAACTGGATATGCAATGTGACATTAATAAAAGAAACTGGGGTTCAAGAGAAATTTGAGAGTATCATGTAGATGGTCATTAGTAACATGGAAATGGAGATCCCCTAGGGATGAAATATAGATAAGGAAGAGAAAAGAGCCTACAGGAATGCCCAAGGAAACTGGGCACTTAATGGAGCAGAGGCAAACCCAGAGGAGGAGGATGACATAATTTTAGACTTATTTAATGACTATTCAAATTACCATAATACTTTTCACCTAGATTCCTCCAATGTTAACATATTATCATCACATTTGCTTTTTTCCTCTAAAAACACCTGTTGTTTCCTGAACCATTTGAAAGTAATTTTCAGACACAATGTCTCTTTCTCCCTCGATATTTAATGTGTATTTTCCTAAACAAGGACACTGTCTTACATATTCTCATCCACACAATCATGAAAATCAGGAAATTAACACTGACACAAAGCCATCCATCGATGCAATACAGACCATGTTCAGATTTTACTGATTCAATCATCTCAATGTCCAAAGTACAAGTAAATCCCTGAGCAGACAGTGCATCCCGTTTCCATGTCTCTTTAGTCACAAGTGCCTTTAGATGTGGGCAAATACTGCTGCTCAAATGTTCCCTCGCTTGTCTTGTGAAAATTTCAGCCAAAATATTCTAATAAATGTAAATGTAAAGGCCTTTGGGAGATCTAAAGGGCTTTGAGTTACAGAATACATAGACCCAAGGTTGGTGGAAGAGTCCTTGGGAGAGATCTCGTCCCCAGTTTAGGAAATCCCTGCAGTGAAAGCAGTAACCAATGGAAGAGCTGTAGGTACCAGTATGACAGGACAGCTGGATGCTATGCTAGTGGCAGGAAGCTGGGAATGTCTCAGAGGAAGACCACAGGACACTGGGAATAGAAGGCAATCTCAAGATTCACCCACATGGTAGATATCTACAGCCAGCCTAAAGGTCTCTTCACTAGTGCCCTTTCTGCATGGTTCTGCCAGAGCCACATTCAAGATAAAGGGGAAGCAAACACCATGTGCCTCCTGCCCCACCAAATCCATTGGTCTATGATGCAGCTATAGGCAGTTCTTTGTGAGACTAATGGGGGAATCTGAATGTGGACTTGGAATTAGATGGTGCCAAGGAACATTTTTTTTTTCTTATGTGGTAAAGGCATGAAGAAATGTTCTTTCTTTCTTCCTTTTCTTTTTTTTTAAGAGATGCCTGTTGAAGTATGGGAGAAAAGATGGTATGTGCAATTTGTTGTACAATGCTTAAGGAAAATTGACAGATGAGATAAAAATAGAAAGTTTTGGTAACTTCAGAATCTGGGGTGTTTACTGTCTCTTCACTACTGTGTAGTTTGAAGATTTTCATATAAAAGAAGGAAAAAAATGAAATAGAGGTCACACTCCTAGTGTAGGAGTTGAAGGACAATAGGAGTGGTGATTTAGTATCAAATCCTAAATCCTTCTTGGCTGGAACCATCAGTCATCATCCCTGTGACTATCCTAGTCAGGTTAGGTTCCCTGACCCTCAGAAGTTGGGGAACAGTTTTAGTTCAAGGGTCCCAGACCTGGTACTGACCATAAATTTTTTCCCAAAGTTCTTATCACTATTTCTCCCAGAAAGCCTCTTTCATGTCAGGTGAGCACAGTCCTGCTGGCTCTGGCTGACCTGTCAGTTCTCTGGGTGGTCACACAGGTTCTTTCAATCTCAGGGGCCCTCTGATGGCAGTGCATAGTCATTTTCAACAGCTTTCAGTTTTCATTTGCCATTTGAGTCTTAATTCAAGTGTCAGTCTAGGAAAGCACGCTGAGTGGACCCCTGACAAGCTTATACCATCTGCAGTAGTATTTTCCTCCATCATCTTGACAGTCGAGAGCTGGCAATATTACAATTCAGACAGCACTCTGCGTTTGAAAGGAAAATTATGGTTTTCCGGAATGCAGCTGGTGTGCAAGTGAATAGGATGAAGTTTCTATGAAGCATTTCCCTCATTTTATGATATGAAAAATAGTAAAATGTAGATTCAGCATGTGATTCTTACTTTAAAAGAACAACCAAAAGGCATAGAATTTTGGGAACAAAGGCAAACAAAGCATTCTGTTCCACAGTCATAATTTTAATAAAAAGCAAAAATAGCAAAACAATAATTTATAAACGACTTCTCTGTTGGAAGAGTTAACATTGTTATTGCTGTATAAACCACTTGGAAAGGAGCTATTCTGATGCCTTGTTAAGATCTATTCTTCACAGTACAATTAAGCAGGAAAACCTGCAGCGCACTTTCCTGGAGGGAATCTAGCTACCGTATCTCTCCCAGAAGAGATTGAGATGAGCCTCACCTGGGCGGGGGTGGGAGTGGGTGGGCACTGTTTCTATTGCTCCAAAAGTTTTGAAGCGAAGGAAACAGATTTTTCCACCTTTGAGAAACAGAAGGTAGACAAAACAAGCCGAGAAGCAGTGTTTTCCACTGGTTTTCTTTTACTTCAAATCAGTTGTGCACATTATAACCGGACACTTGCTGCTGAGAAAATCTTCACACATCCTACCTCCCTGCAACTAAGATGTTGCAACCCTTTATATGTATCAATACGTTTTCTCTGTCTCCCAGTGGCAGTGGTATGCTGATAACAACTAGCTCTGGAGCAGGGAGGATTGACAACCTTGATATGTGGTGTTTGCCCATTTCTGTGATATAAATATTCTTACCAGGGCTGATTCGGAGCTACCATGTCACTGAATGGCAAATTTGGTAAGGGATGTGCAGTGGAACACCATTATACATATATACATACGAATAGATGTCAATAACCTCAGAACATAAATAATAGTAAAATAACTAAGTGAGGAGTTTGGGGTAGGTATTATCTATGTTTTAAACAGACTTGTAGGTTTACATAATTTAATCTTTAATGATGGCTGT